GAAAAATCCATTTCAGTTCATCTTTTATGCTGCTCTTTCAGACCCTTACTAAGGTGGATTCAATTACGAGATCAATTAACATAATGGAGCAACAAATGAAAATCCATTCAAAGTAGGGAAGAAGATAGCCAAACGTTTAGAAAATAGAACTCACCATTTGTAATTTTTGCCAGCTGTTTGCAAACAAATAGTTCCGCACTTATTCCAATCACAGAACACCGGATATTATGGCCTCTGAGTAGCTGGAACCCAAGATATTGATTGAGGGTATTAATGATGTGGCAGAAAAACAATGATGGAGAGGGTGCAGTGATAAAAGACACCTCGAATGTGGAGAATACATTTCCAGGATCCACCGTAGACAAACTGGACATAATCACAACCACTTCGCGGGACACGTGTCCAGGTAAGCTTCTAAACACTAGAGTTTGTGACTTTGTCAGTAAGCCCCTTGCTTTTCGGAAGTATGGACTAGCACGTTCGCTGCCCTCCAGTTTTGTGATAAAGCTACGTAACAAAAATTTTAAAAGAAAATCAAATAAAAACAGAACCAAATCTCCGCCCATTCTACGCCGCCATCCCCTTCTATCACAGAGCGCGCCATGTATGTGTAATGGGTTCCACAAATCAATATAGAAAATTCCATGTTCTCCTTCCGCACTACAATTTTCAAGTTCTTTAATTAAGACATCAATTAACAAAGGCGCTCGGGGTCGGTGAAAAACCAGGCTAAATCAATCGCTGGTTTCGCACTGCTATGAGAAGATTCAATAAGCAAAACAATCTCCAAGTCCAAATAATAAAAAAGGGGAACGAACATACTTTAAATTGGTGAGAGCAAGTTGCAACGCATTCTGAAGGGAGAAGTCTCCACTGCATATGGCTTCATTTAAGGAACCCAGGTTGTCCTTCAAAGCGCGGACGTTGCCTGAAAAGGGCATAGAAGAGTTTATTACTTTTCACTATTACTATTACTTAGATCAAGAGAAGGAGAACATTTTGATGAAGAAGTCAAACGCGCAGGTCGCTCTCGAAACCTCTATTGCAACACAATCCAAAGTAAAGAGCAATTAGATCAAAGACCTACCTGTGAGGCTAACAAAACGTTCGGCTTTCTTGTCTTTGACAATGATTATCCCTAACTGTGAAATAGGATTCTGTTCGAAGAACTTGTCGATAAACGTGTTCAGAATCTGTAATAGAACGTATATTCTTGAAGAATAATGACAAAGTCATTCAAGACAATCTAGACCTTTGTCCTGTCTCATGGAAGTCATTAGCAGCTACAGGCGCATAACAAAAATAAAGAAGCTTGCCATGTTACAAAACAATTGAATTATGATCACGAAGAAGGATAAAAGGTGCATGACAAGAAGTCGAATCATTATTGCAAAATAAGCAGCTCTTCGTTCATTGTGAAGTTTGAACTGTGTAGCGCAAGGTCGTCTTGTAACTTTCTGTTATACATCCAAGAAAAAATAGCTTTGAGTAAAATATGGGACTTAAAGCTGCTACTTATCCAAGAATAAGGTTGCTAAGAATACCTTCATGGTGACGAAAAATCGAGATGGTGGTAAGACTTTGCTTGTCATTGATCGCGAACAGTCAATCGCCACATAGACATAGCGCATCTGAATAAATGGTCTGGAATTCGAGTACACAAATAGGGAAATTGGACACCTTACAATGCGAGAACGAATTTTCGATGGCTTCTCGATCGTACGTTGCTTTTTCCGTGCCTCTGCAACGAGCTTTGCGATGGACTTCTCGATTGATCCACCCTCATCTTCCTCTAATACTTCGCGGATATTCAAACCTGAAAAGCATGATCTTCATGGCATTTTCGTTTTCCTACAGATTATCTCCCCTTCCCTCAAACCGGGAGTTCAGCTGATCACCACTAGTATATACCACTACTCACGGAATCACTATTGGGTCTCTTATGACGGAGCAGCATTCCTGAACGAAGACGAAATCTCTTTCCTCAAAAAAAAAAGAATTGGTTAACCGCAAGATTTACGGGAAGAGGGGAAGAAAAAGTCATGCCGGCGAAGAAGCACCATCAAGGCAACTTTTCCGCCCCCCATAGCACAGGGTTGCAGCCGTTTGGATGAAAGTTTTTATCGGCAAGCAGAACATTCCTCGGTTGCCCTCGCCCTCCCTCCCATGAGCAAACGCAAGCCCTCCTTCGCTGCGTTCGCCATCTACAAACATGACGTCATCTGCCATCACCGTCAAGCTCAATGAGACTTGCCATAATTGCTCCAGCCTGAAGCTGCTACATAATTCCTTGAATCAATTTTCGGGGCCTGGGTGGAAGGCTTTTTAGAGACACTGATTCTGACTATGAAGGTTCCCTTCTAACCAGGATATCAGAGGACGTAGTGGTCCACGATATTTCGAGGACCCCTTTGAGCTCGACCTATGCTTGTGTGACAAATTCAGTTGATGTCGTCCCTGTAGAAGGCTACTATGAATTTTATTGATAGTTTATTGAAACGCGCTCTTCAATTTTCAGTTAGAAGCATACAGTTGGATCCAGCAACGTATATGTTAATAGTTGCGCTTTAAATTTATTCAGTTAGACTTCTTGGTCCAGAACTGTGCAATCTTTGCTACAGTTGTAAACACCCTAATAAAACATTTGATGCGACTTTTAAGTATTTTAGAAGGAGATTGTCTTATTCTATGTCATTTTTTTGTCCCCACTGCATCCATGAACCCACCGTCCGCATATCCAGCTTCCCACGTATATCCTTTTTGGTCGTCGTCCTCTGTCATGTTCTTCAAATATTCGGATCACCTCACCTAGAAAAATGCGTGTATTTTGCTAAAAATGACCACTAAAGCTTTAACCAATCCAACTCGACCGTGACTGGCAAGGTAACATCACAATTGATGGGAGAATTCATAACTTATGGTGTTCCGAGAGAGAATCGACAAGGTGTGATTAATATTCAAGAGCAAAGCCAATGAAAAAATGTGGGAACTTCGTATCAACTTTTCCCGTTTAAAAAAAGACGTCTCTGCGTGGTGTCTGCACCCGATATTTTTACGCCTGCTTTTTTACAATCGCTTTTCTGATAATCTCGCCGTGCAAGCTGCTTTTCCTATAATTCGTTATCCTACTTTTAATTGGCCTAGTATTCGTTCTTTCATGCCTGGCATTCGGTTCTGGTTTTGTATTACGTGATTTTATAAATCTTCTGAGTTTCATCTCATTTAGAATGTTGGCCAGGCGCCTCTTGGGATTTGCGTTGAAGGGCAACTTACCGAGTATTTATTCTGCATGTCCTTTATCTTCGAGGTAAGTGTCGTTCACGATGTTTCGATTAATGACTGAATTGGTGATTAATTGGAAAGTTTCTTGCATCACTTCCGGTTTTACTATACCTTCAAAGATTTGCATCATTTTAAATTTTGCGACTAATTCTTATAAAGAAGAGATAACAGTGTCAGATAAATGGTACTAAGTGGCTATTTGAGTTCCTAAAGAAACTTCATCAAAATGACGAATAGTAATTCTGGGGAAATATTAGCATGTTTTTCGACTGCCAAACGT